TATGTATGTAAACACTTCCCCCTCCCCCTTCCCCAGCGCAACCTTTAGAGGCAGCGAACAACAAAATGCCGGAATGTCTGAGTGGCCGCGTGCGCGAGGTATTCAGTTCGCGTAGAGAGAAACCCGCTGCGAGAACCGTTTGTGCCGGCGGATTCGGGGCCCGCGCTCCTGAAGCGCGCGAAACTTTGAAAAGAGCGGCTCATTGTCTTTGCGATCTGGAGCGCGAGGCAATGCCGCCGCCGTCGCCGCCGTCAGGCTCAGCCGCCCGGCAGACGGACGACGGGCGGCGTCGAGGTGCGGCCGTCCGCGTCGACCTGGACGACCCTGGGCGCGCCGCGGGTGTTGAGGACGACCACGGGGCTGGCGCCGGCGCCGGTGACGACGGTCGTGGGCTGCTGGCGGACCCGGCTGGGGGCCGCGGGGGCCGTGGCCGCGGCCGAGCAGGCAACGGCTGGCTCTACCTGGAAAAGGGGCAGGTATATTCGTAATCACCTTTTAAAAAAACTTTTTGGATTTTTTCTTCTTTTACAAATCGTTAAGTATACACAAGGTAAAACACTGCTGAAAAGTGACAAGGGCGTAAGTCCAACGCAAAGTCCGTTGACTTACGTCCTTTTCACTTTCCACCACACCACTGACATCACAGACCTGATTCACGACAACCACCGGTGGTGGAGCTTTAGGCGTGGGTCGACGTGGGAAGTACCCGTACCGTATCACGGGCTGTGGCACGTAGATCACGGTCTTCCTCTTCTCCCTGCCGAGAAAGGAAATGCAAAAAAAGAAGGTTTAAATAAAACATTTTTTTTTCCTCCTTGCCGCACGTCGCACGTCGGGATGAAAAGGGGGAGGCGGGGACAGGAGTAAGGGGCAAAAGGAAGGCGGTGATATAAATCTACTCACGGCTGTGGCACGCAGGCAGGCGGTGCTGGAGATGGCGGCGGCGGTGGAGGAGCCGTCGAGGGTGCCGGCGCGGGCGTAGGGGGTGTGGTGGGCTCGGGCGAGGGGGGCGTCGTGG